AAGTCTAAATAATCTCAACTGCCATATAGTGGATATTTACTATGTGGGAAGATCCATTCAGGTCTTTTTTATTTTTCCAAATTTAATTTCTCCAATAACTCTAGGAGGTAAGTGATATTGCTATGCCCTATTTTTAAGAAGAATAAATTGAGACCCCAAAAAAGTGAATTAACTTTCCAAAGTCAAAGGCGAAACCAGTCCATCTCTCTCTAAAGGCCCAGTTCTTCTCTGCTCTCTGTAATGAATGTGTCAAGCACACTTTGCACTCAAATAACCTGAGATTAAAAAAATACAGATTCCAGGGTTAGGGGGTGCATAGCTCAGTAGTAGAGCCTTTGCCAAGCATGCAACATCCCCAGACCACAAACAAAGGGAAAAAGAAAAACGCAGATTCTGGAGGATACATCCTGACCAGGTACAGTGGCACACATCTGTAATCCCAGTGGATTGGGAAACTGAGGCAGGAGGATCTCAAGTTCAAAGCCAGCCTCAGTAAAAGTGAGGTGCTAAGCAATTCAATGAGACCCTGTCTCTAAATAAAATACAAAATATGGCTGGGGATTTGGCTCAGTGGTTGAGTGCCCCTGAGTTCAATCCCCAGTACCAAAAAAAAAAAAAAAAAAAAAAAACTGGAATGTACATCCTGAAGATTCTGATTCTACGCATCTGTGGACTATGCCTTTATGACAGCAGCGGAGAGTATCCCATAACTTTGAGAACCAGATCTCACTTTGAGAACCAGATCTCCAGGAGCTGTGAAATGTCCAGCCTCTCCTTGTCCAGCCCCTCACCTAAAGAGGTAGGGGCCAGCCCACAGAGATTAAATGACTTCCTTGCAGCTGGTCCCCAGGCCCAGAGCAGGGCTGGAATCAGAATCATGCCAGCTGGCGCAGCATTCTCTCCACCACATTCCAGCAGAGAAAAAATTGAAGTCTCTTAGAGGACTTTGTTCTTCCCCTCATTTTTTCAGTTCTTCAAGCAGCCAAACTCCCCTGGAGCGTCAAACAATATGTTCAAGGCCAGCACGGAAAAATCACACCACTAATTCAAAAAGTCTTCGTGCTTTGTGCCCACGTACTGCCAAAATTGGAAGCAGTGAAAATAGTTTAAATATTACTTTTCTTTAATTGTGAGAATATCAGCGTGTGAAAATTGCCATGTGTAACCTTAAGAGTTGTTACAGTTTTCTAAAAAGCAAACTTGCCTTTCCAAACGCCATTCAGGAAGGATCACTTCTCTCTTTACACATCTCCATTAAAGCCCCCAGCACACGATTAGACCTCTATAATATCTAAATGCAGTGTCAGTGCAAGTCTTATAATTCCAAGGGATTTTATTGCAGCTAAATTTACTGTTAAGCTGCCTTTCTCTGAGTGATTACCCTAGAGACTGGGGTTTTCTCTCTGTATTTACCCAGTTTGCATTGAATGAGCAAACATCAAGATTGTTGGCCTAATGCCAAGGTTGAGCAAACAATTGTTCCCCTGTTTGCGGGCCTACTTATTTATTTCTGGTTGCTCTCTACAAGAATCTGTCATATTAAGTCCCTTAAAGAGATACCCAAATACAGTTGCACTCAGCAGTTTGGGGTAGCTCCACTAAGTCATTGCCAGTTTCAATGTGGGTGTTGGCACATACTTTCCAAAAATCTTAATATGCAAATGAGTTGATAGTGTGTGTGTATTTTAATGACAATATTCTGGTTCAGCTTTTCTGTAGCAGTAGGAGTTTCTTTTGCCACACAACTCTTCATAGACGGATTAGTGAACTTTCTCAATGCGCATAGTACATTGGATTGCTGAGATAGAAACTTCAGATCTGAGCAAAACAATGTATATACATACGATTGGTGGGGGGGGGGGGGAGGCTGTTCTCCAAAAATCCAATAATTGGGTTGAAATGTCTGACAAAGGGCCATGAAGAACCAGGAACTACGTGGGACTTTAAAATTAGGTCTTTTGAATTAAAGATGATGCTCGAAATGCCACCCACTTCTTACAATCTGGTGCTTTCTTTTCTTTTTGCAGAATCTACCATGCCCCAGGTACATAGATGTCTCTGATGCAAAACAGATGAACACACAGTGAGGTTTTTTGTTCACGCTCCACAGTATCCTGTTGAACAGGGTGCTCCAGTGAGGCCTTGGAGGGTTTGATGAGCCAAATGAAGCCACTTAAAATGTCTTACAGGCCTGAGAGTTCTGCTACTTCATGAGCTACCCCCTTCCTCGTCCCCATTGTGGCTGCTGTTCCCTGGGATCTGTTCTTCTCCCACCCTACCTGGAAGTTCCACAACTCTTTCAAGTCATTTGGGTCCCATGTAGTTAGGACCCAATTTATCATTTAAAACAAAGGATCAGCAAATATTCTTCAGAAAAGGCTAGACAATAAATATTTCAAGTTTTGCAGGCCATGTCACAACTACTGAACTCTGCCCATGGTAACACAAAAGCAACCGTAAGTAACTCAGAGGGTCAGTGTTCCAATAACACTTTCTATATAAACACTGAGATTTGAATTTCATGTACTTTTTTACAAACCACTAAATATTATTTTCCATTTGATTTTTTTTTTCAATCATTTGAAAACATAAAATCCATTCTTAGGCCAGGTATCATACAAAAACAGACAGTGGGCCCAATTCAGCCATGGGTCATTGTTTCCTAACCCTTGCTTTAAACCRAGAAAGGACTGATAACATAGAAATGCCGACCTGGCCAACAGCTTCCCCCGTTGACATCTTAGCAAGCACTCAAGATGTCAGCTAAGACTGTAATCACTGGACAGTTGGGACTCTTTAGGAATGAGAATCAGCACACAATTTTTCTATTCACAAGAAGAAGGCTATAAACTCAGTGAATTGAGATTGGAATCAGAATTGAGTTCTCTGTGTACATTTCCACTTCTTAGAAAAGTTGAGTCCGAATGAACGTTGAAAATGTTTCGTGTGGAATTTGAAATCCCTGGTCCGCATCTGACTGACCCTGCCCTGACATATGGAGGCACTGAGAGTTCAGGGACAGGTCTCCATGTCCAGTTGACTTTCCTTCCTACATGGTTACCTTCCCACCAGAGTAGAAGGAAAGGGGGAAATTGTCCCCAGAGCTTAGGCAATGGCAAGTAAGGTTTTCCTTTTCTCCTTTGCCCTAACTTACAGAGATCCCTTCTCTACCAGGGAAGAGGGAACAGAAGGTGACAGAGCATCTAGGCTTCTAGTTGCAACTTTCTGTGTAGAGGTGCCTCCAGACTCAAAACACCTCGATCATAAGAGGCCAGTTTTCTTTTCCTCTGCACCCAGCTATAACAGACTTAATCTTATTTCCTCCTCACTTCTTTCTCCTTCCTTCCATCTTTGTTTTTCCTTTGTCTTTTGACATAGTGATTTAATATTCATAGATGGTCAACGTACACTCTTGCTGTGCAGGGTTTTGTTATATTTATTATCTTTGCTTTCAATATGATTCATTTAATTATAACTTTACAGAATTTAATTTAAATAATGGCTGTGTTTAACACTTGGGTCCAAATATTCCTGATAATTGGCTCTTGTGAGAGAGAACTAGATGGCTCTACCACACCCTTAGAAAAAGATATTCTCACAAGTTTGGGTTGTAGTCCTAGGATGCTCCAAAAGACACCTGTAAATCACATTTTAGTACCACCCCTTGTTCACAGACAGCTTAAAAGAAAAACAATTGTGCAGTATTTCACTCTTACAATTCTACAAATACCTATTAAACTTCTCCAAGAACATTTTTATAAGTGTCCTTTGCACTGAGTTTATCTAACTAAGAAATTTCCAGTTTCCAGTTGGGGCATCTAATGTGAGTTATTGCACCCACGAGGCAATACTGTCAGAGATGTTCCCCAAACACCATTTTAGCCTCGGTTCATATCTTCATTCACACACTTTCAATGTCTGTGGCTCCATAATTGCAGTACTTTGACAAGAGTTTCATTTCCTGTTCCTGGATTTTAATAAAAGGAAATTGACAGGCAGCATCATTAGAACAGGGGGAGGGAGAAGGGAATGAGTCCTAGTGCTAGGTTAGTTCCTTAGGACAGAACTGACCACTAGTTTCCTTGGGAGAATCCAGGATTTTTACTCTTCCAAGAATCCTTACTTGTATTTTCCTGTTGTTTGGACCCAGGGAAGGACTGAGTCAGGCCACCTGGTTCAACCACAAATGGCTGCCTCCCGGACTCTAGAAAGTTACCCAGCTTCTCTGGCTTAAATTTGCAAAACGAAAGGTTGGGAGATCACTAAGATCCCCTTCAGTTCCTTTTTAATCATCTCTAATAATATTTTTTTAAAATTAAGTAGGATAAAAAGAAAAAAGTCAGGAAAGACAAACTTGCTGCTCCTTGGAGCAGTCATCCTAGCAGACCTCTCTTGGTTCTCTGTCAGATATGCACACCAGTGCTCTTTCCTTACAGCTCATAAAATGCACCTCCCATTAAAATGACTTGCATGACCCTTGTGGAATCTGATGAACTGTTTAAGGTCCCAACGTCTGGTTTCCTTCAGTGTGTGGCTTTCTGTTTGTGTGAACACCCCTCTGTGAGGTCACATTAAGACACTGCCTTCTGGGGCTGTCCTGGCCATCTGCACAAAGGAGGGGTCTGCACCGACTGGCCATCTGCGTCACCTTCCACACAATCGCCTTCTACACCACCCCCACAGCGTCGCAAAGCAGCTGAGTGTGGACCAGGCACGGGGTGGGCGTGTCCCACGGTGCTTTATAAAGAAAATCAATAAAAGGTCCTCGCAGGATGCTGAGACTCCAGTACCTGGTAAACTCGGCCAGGCAGCGGACCCTGCCTTTCCCGGACCCTGGAGGGAGCTGCGATTTACATCCTACTTGGAATTTAGACGCCTCCAATCTGGAGTTTTCCGTTACAGACGTCCCATAGCAGCCCAGCCCCAGGTCCTCCTGACGCTGTTTATTGTGGCAACAGTTCCCGGCAACTGCCCAGACACCGAGTGCCTCCCGCCCGAGCTTGAAGGCGGGAGGTGGCGCGGCGGGAGCGCTGCAGGACGCGGGCGAGGGGCGGCGAGGGGCGGCGGAGCGCGGGCAGCATGGGCTGCAGCGCGTCCCAGCCCGCCGAGGACCAGAGACGCGTGCCCGCGCCCAGGAAGGGATGGGAAGAGGGAGTCCAGGTAAAAAGGAAAAAAACAAGTAATAAAATGAATCAGACACAGCCTTTGCTCCGGAAGCCTCCGATTCTCAAGCTCGGGGACAGCTGGAAAGGGCTGGACCAAGTTCCCAGGCCGCCTCGGGAGGGATAATAGGGTGCATGAGGCGGGACAGCCCTGTTCTGCCAGTGCTTCGCGGCTGTCCTAACCACGCAGGGGTTTGGGGAGGTTTGGTGTTTAAAGGCCCCGGGCAAAGGGGAAATTGGAATAATCCCTGTAGTCGGCCAGAGCTGGGCGGGGCTGTGCCTGGAGGTGATGTGGGGAAGGTGGGAGTCCCTGGAGCTGCCAGGTATGGTTGGCTTCTGGAAAATGGGCTCTTTGGAAGTCGCTTGGAATGGGAGGGGCTCTCAGGAACCACTTGGCTGCATCCTCTAGCTTCATAGCTAAGGGGGACCCTGAGGTTCGGAGAAGTGGAAGACTTGCCTGAGGCTGCACAGCTTGTTTGGGGCAGATCTAGTTTTCTTCAGGAGTCTCATGCCAGTGCTCTTTCTACTATGCCTCAAAGTGGCATCCCTGTTATCCTTGTGAGGGGAGGGAGGTATTGGAGATGGAACCCAGGGTCTCTCCATGGGCAGGTGCTCTACCACTGAGCTACACTCCCAGCCCCAATCCCGGGTCATTCCTCTGGAGGCATTAAGGGTATTCCCCCCCGCCCCCCAGAATGGGTCATGGAGGGGATGGGTTGGTTGTGACCAAAATTAGTCCAAAATTTCTTCCCATCCTTTTTGCCCTCCAGATTCCATAGACAGAACTAGGAACCCTCAAGGGTCCATTCCAGAGGAGTTTAATTTTCCATCAAAATCTGACTTTCAAGAGTGAAAGGGAGTTCTCCTGATACATTTCCCAGCCAGTCTGGCTGAAGCCCAGCACAGCACAGCCAGAGTTATGGCCACCCTTCCTAAAAGGCCTTTGCAGAGTGCTGTTTAAAGAGCCCAGGCTTTGTCCCAGCAGGTTATGTGGGACACTGTGGGTGTCAGTTACAGCATCTGCCACATAGGAGGCATATTTGCTGGGCTCTTGGGGCACATTTCAAAAGCAACTCTAGGGAAAAGCTGAGGTTCAGGACCTGGTGCTCGGCAGGAAGCCTGCACTCAAATGCCTGTCACCCTGCACTCTGCTCCCATCCCTAAACTGCTGCTGTCTGCATTCAGGTCCCATATGTCTTCCTGGGCCTCTCAGTCTCTCCTGTCACCGTCCTTCCCAGTCTACCTCCCACACTGTCACCTGTTCTCCTCTGTAATTCACTGTAGTGTACAGACATTTTTTTGATTTGGTCCCATTCTTTCTTTCTAGTAGCGCCAGCTCCTCTACTGTCCATGGCTGTCACTCATGACCCCTGGGGCTGCTAGACCAAGGGCTTGGGGGTTGGTTCCTCCAGTCTTCCTCACTCCTCCAAGCTTTTACCCACGCTATTCTGTCTTCCTAGAATGCCACCCCAGGGGCCTGTCCTAGGAGAGCTGGTGAGCTCTTGATTCGTCCTTCAGCTCTGGGCCCCCAAACAACTGATCTGGCACTCCCATTGCCACCTGAGGCCAATTTGTTTCAAGGTCCTTCTCCCTCACAGGTTTACAGGCTTCTGGGAAACCCTCGGTGGTCTTTGCTATTGTTCAGTAGTGCTTTGCACCAATATGTAGGAATATTTTCCCCCTTTTCCTACGATACATTATGTCATTTAAGTCTCAATTTGCTATTGTTTTAGCTTTTTTCGTGCAAAAGAGATTTCTCATCTTTTTTTTTATTTTTCATACACGCATTATATGTAAGTCTTCAACAAAAAAAAAATGCCTACTATTTGTGTTCTTTTCTGGCTTTATCATTTGCTCGATCACATGGTTAACACTGAAAATAACTTTGTTGTGTAGATCAGGAGGGAGTAAAAAGAAGTTCCCTCCATGTGTCAAATATATCAGGTCCTTTAGGTCAGGCTATCCCAAGCCTGCAAGGTTTTCTACATAGTTTCTTGAATTTCACAGTTAAGTCATCGCCTGCTTGGATACTTTTTCCATTTCCACCATCATCTGCCTTCTGCTTTAATCTTCCACATGACCTCCAGAATGACCTCTATATAATAAAATTGGATATGTCAGTCCTCCTCAGAAAAATGTCACCAATCCATTAAGTGAGCACACAAACCAATGGTCAAGACGACGACAACCAGGGTTTGATTTTTGTGTTCATTCTTATTAGTTGTTGACCTTGGTCAAGGTCTTAACCTCTCTGCCCCAGTGTTATCTGTGAAATGAGGGTATTCACAATACTTACTTCACAGAGTTGTTATAAGGATTAAATAAGACAATTCACATGAAAGTGCTCATATGCCTGGCACAGACTAAAACTCAATGTAAGTTATTATAATGACGGTGATGGTTGTAAGATAAAACCCTACATCCTTGGCATATCCTTGCACTGGCTGCTGACTCTGGGTTTGCTCTCTCCCCATGTGCATATTCTGCGCAGGCCTCGCTTCTTGTTCCCCACACCCATCTGCCCCTAGTTCCATGACCTTGCACCTGCTGCTTTCTCTCTTTCAGATTCTTCCCTTTCTCCAAGGCCACCGTCAAATTGTGCACATCTTTTAAGACAGCTCACGGTCACTCCTCCCTGTGCTCATCTGGCCAACCCCTGACCCTGCCACCATGCTGCCAGGTTGATCTTCTACCTCCTCCTACCAAATGGCAATGCATTTTATCATATTTGTTTCCATTTTTTCCTCCTATCCTGAGCTGTCACCTCCTTGGGTACAGGAACTGTTTTTATCTTTGTATCTCTGGTGCTAACTGTGGTGTCTCATGCAGACCTAGCACTAATGCATTTTCCTTGAGTGACTGCATGTCCTCCCCACGCACCCAAGTCCCCAGATTCCTTAGTGTGTTCTTGTCTCCATGTAGCATAACCAGACTAATGACAGTCTGCAAGGAAAAAAATCAATATTAAAACAACTTGAAAATAGACTGAGAGTCTACTCATGCATATACCTTCTCTTTATGTGAGTGCCCAAAACACTTGACTTTGGAAATCTGATCTGGGTAGGGTATGATTATTATTAATTAGACACTCTAGAGCTGTCTGAATAGTAATGTCTTTACTACATGCATAAAGGCAGAGGACTCAGAGTTCAGTAGTTCAGAAATATCTTCAAACTGAGATGAATGTATTTGCTGTAATGAAATATTGTTTCTTAGTGGCATTGACTTTAAAATATTCTGAATTAAATGTTTTGAGAACTGTCTACAGACTTTCTCTTCCCTTTTGCCTTAAAGTGGCAAGAAGACACCACAATAAACTAATTCATAAGAAAAGCCTGGGAAACTTCTTAGTTGGAAAAATGCTTACTTGGAGTTATTCTACATGAATAACTTAGTTTCTTGCCTGTTACAAACAGGGAATGGTTAGCTTGCAGTGAGTGATCTCCAAGGGTCCTTCACAGCTTCCCTCCAACATCTGATTTTAAAAATGCCCTTGCTTATTGTCTCTGAAAAGGCCTAAGCGGCTACTTAAAGCTCAACTTTTTAAATAATAAGATTTGGAGAGATATTATTGTGACTTTTCTAGAAGTAACTAGAAAAAATCATATTTTTGAAGAACAAATTCTTCCTCTATGTCTACAAACAAATATATTTATAAAATATATCTGCTACTAATTTGATTTAAGATTTCAGCTCTGGGGAGCCTCAACAAATTAGTTCCTCCAAACTGTTTGGCAAACATGTTTCCCCAAAGCTGTATGACACATATAACACTTCTCAGCCCAAACAAACAAACAAACAAAAAAACACATCTAGAGTTGAAAGCAATTTTTAAAAAAAAATTATGGTAATTCTCATGCCTAGAGATCACTTTAGAATTCACAATTTTTAAAATTCTGTCTAAAACTGATAAAATTTTATCCTCAAGGAACTGAAGTATAAAATAAAATTGATACAAAATTATAGCTGGGTGTGGTGGCATTATTATTCAGACAGCTCTAGAGTGTCTAAAATCCTGTAATCCTAGCAACTCCAGAGGCTGAAGCAGGAGGATCTCAAATTCAAAGCCAGCCTCAGCAACTTAATGAGGCCCTAAGTAACTCTGTGAGACCCTGTCTCTAAATATAATATAAAAAAAGGACTGGAGATGTTGCTCAGTGGTTAATACCCTTGGGTTCAATCCCTGGTACAAAAAAAAAGTTTTAAAAATTATCAAAATGTAAAAAGACATTTAATCTGTACTTCTCTTACTTCATCTCAAGGAAAAGATAAAACCTTCCAGCCAACTCTTCCAGTTACCATTTCTTATATAATATAGAAGGTTTTCTTATTGGTGTGAAAATTTAAACTCTTCATGCATAGATGGAACAAGAACACTACTAGCCATGTCCACAAGTGGCACAGATTTAATTGATTTGTCAGTATCTCTGATCTTTGAACTGTGTCTGTTTTCAAGTCCAGATTATACAATTGGGTTAAAATCCTCAGAATATGTCACACATTGATAAGTTATTTGAAAGATGTTCTTAGTTTTCAAAAAAGAAGAACTTTACATTTCTACTGTGGAAACTGAAGGCTGGTATGAGTTATTTGATGCTAAAAGACTGTGTTTTGTCAGCTACAGCCTAAGTGTTGGTCAGTAACAGCACTCCGGTGCAGAGTGTCTCTAAGTACACATGGGAAGATATCCTTGCTAGGGTCTGGATTCCAAATCCAAGTGGCTATAATAGCGCTGATGAAGCCATGGTGAGGTCATTTGCAGTAATGGTGTTTAAATAGAGGCTAAGCTGTAGTTTACAGAATGTCTTTATGAAAAGTCATCCTTTTAGATCAAAAATGCTCAAATTTACACTCAATTCTAGTGTGAGCTTCTTACCATCATTGTTGGTGCTGCCTTTGCTTTCATTAAATCAACTGAATGTTTTTAGGATCTCCACTTGGAAATATTAAATGATAAAATTAAAAATTAGTCCTTGTGTGTAACTCACTGGTTTCAAAAAATGATGAATTTACAGAATGAAATGAACTTGTAAAAACACTTGTGTCATGACCACTACAGATCCTGGCTCTTCACAGTTTATTTAGAAATAAGAGGAAGAATGTACAACATGATTTGCATCTTTACCTTCAGCCTCAGAGACAAGAGCATCTGAATGGGGCTCTTTTTCCTTTGTTATATGAATCAAATATAAATGTATGTGTGTGGTACATGATGTATGTGACATGAGATGTGTTGTATGTTGAAGGTCCACTTACTCTGCAGGGACTGAGTGACATCCCTAGCACTTTTTATTTTTTATTTTGCGGCAGGACCTCACTAAGTTGCTGAGCCTGGCTTTGAACTTGAGATCCTCCTGCCTCAGCCTCCTGGGAGCCACTGGGATTACAGGCATGCACCACCACGCCTGGCCCAATGCACTTTTATCAGCAATGGAAGTATGGTCCACTGAAAAGAAGTGGGACTACACACACATTGGTGCAAAATTTATAGAGGGCCTTCTGGAAATGTATTATAAAATGTACATGGTATTATAAAATGATCTAGCATGCCTAGGAATTTTTATCATTGTGTTTTCAAGAGTTGGCTATTTTATATCATATCAATATTTAATTTCTTTTTATTTCCAAATAATATTCCTTTGCATGAATATAGCACATTTTATTTCCCCATTCATCAACTGATGAACATTTGGTTGTTTCCCATTTGTTAATATTATTAATAACCATTATGAACATTTTTATGCAAGCTTTTTGGTGAATATGTATTTTCACTGTCTTGGTTGTTTACTTGGGATTAAAATTCCCAGGTCATACAGTAACCCTACATTTAACTTTGAAGAGATCTCAAGCTGTTTTCCAAAGTATCTCCACATTTTGTGTTCCTACAGTAATGGAGGAGGGTTCCAGTTCTCTATACCCTCACCAACATTTGTTATTCTCTTTTTTTTATTTTAGTCCTCCTAGTGGATATGAAGCAACTCATTGTGGTTKTGATCTGTATAATAGTGAAGATATTTTCATGGGCTTAACAGCTAATTACAACTTATTTTTAAAGACTGTTTATATGAGTAAATACATTTGGGAAGTGATATACCAAGATATTGATGGTGCTTCTATCTAAGGGCTGGTACTTCTTATTTTCTACTATGTTTCTGTATTGGTCAGGATTATATTAGAGGAACAGGTCCAGATGGATGGATGGATGGTTGGTTAGATGAATAGTTGGATGGATGGATGGATGGTTGGTTGGATGGTTGAATGGATGGATGAATAAATGTACTGCAAGGAAAATGCTTATGCAGTCACAGAGCTGCCAGACAAATCCAAAATCCACAGGACAGGGCAAGTGGTCATAAAATGTGGTCTGGAGCTGAAGCCACAGTCCACAGCAGAATTTCTTCTTCCTGAGGGAGACCTCTAGTCTGTTCTTGAAGCCTTTCAACTGAGTGTAAGAGACCCACCTAGGATAATGTTTTACTTAAAGTCAAATGATTGGTAGATATAAATCACATCTACAAAACACCTTACAGCAAAACCTAGAATTAATGTTTGACTGACTACTGTAGCCTAGCCTGGTTGACACATAAAACTGACTGCAATTTCCTTCACTATTATTTAATTCTTTTAAAAAGAAGTCTGACCTACATTTTAACCAGCAAAAACAATGTATATTTCATTTTTTAAAAAATATTCCTTTTATGTAGTAGTATCTCTACTTTCACACTTGATTATGAACTTGTTTGTCTTAATAAAAAGTTCAGTAYAGCAACTTGTATTTGATAGATCCCTTCTAACATAAATTAATAAAACTGTAAGCATTTTTCTATTGCTGTTTTAACTAATTAACCCAAGTTTAGTGGCTTAAAGCCATACAAATGTTATAAGAATGGGAAAGATGGTAGAATGAGATGGACATCATTACCCTAGGTACATGTATGATTGCACAAGTAGTGCATCTCTATGCCATGTACAACTAGAGAATTGAAATGTTGCACTCCATTTGTGTACAATGAATTGAAATGCATTCTGTTGTCATGTACAACTAAGTAGAACAAATAAAAAATTTTTAAAAAATACAAATGTATTTTCTTAGAGCTCTGGAAGTCAGAAGCCCAAAGTTAGTCACACTGGGCAAAGTCGAGGTGCTGGCAGGGCTAGTCACTGTCACTTGAAGGAAAAAGTCCTTTCCCTTTGCAGCATCTATAGCAGTGGTCCTCAGAGCCCGTGGTTAAAGTCCCTTTCTCCTTCCCCTCCAGCACCTTAGCATCTTCAAGCTGCCCCTGCTCCCATCCTCGCATCAGCTTTGCCTCCTGCAGTCAAATCTCCTGCTACCTCTCTTCTAGGGACACTGTGACTGCATATAGGGCCCCCTGGGTCCTTTAGGACAATTTTGCCATTCAGTTAATCACATGCCACGTAACATTTGCAGGTTTCAGCCTACCATGGATACTGGTTGAAGAAATACTCACACAGCAGACCCACAACACTTTTCATGTTCCAAGAAATCTGGACTCTCAGAGAGTATTCCCTCTTCACAGGCTGCTGCMCAACTAACACACTCTGAGGAGAACTGCAGGCCCCAGATCGATGCCACACTGCCCAAGGACACTGTGGACAAGGTAGAAGGCCTGGAACAACAAACTCAGATAAGAAGCTTACCCGGAACTATTCCAGAAAGTTCTCCATCTCCTAGTGAAAGAAATGGAAAAGTAAATTCAGGTAAGCCACCACTCCTTGGGTTTTGTGGGTTCATGTTGATCTCTACAAAAATACTGATTCTCTAAATACAATGTATATTCAGTGGCCTTTTATCTCTTCTTTGTGGGTCATGAAGTATTTTCAGTGACAAAACTTTAAAAGTTAGCCTTAGGTCTTCATTTTTTCAGTAAATAATGACAACTATTCATCTTATTGTCCGTGAGATAATTAAAGTCATCTCTCTCTTTTTTTTTAAACATTCTCAGCCTTTATTGAGAATTGGAAACAGAATTTAAGAATACAAGTTGCTCAATTTAAAATCATTTAAACATCCACTCCACTAGGTTAACCTCTTTCTAAGGGAAAGGTCTACATTTGCAAAAAATAAATAAAACCTTCGTCCAACTGCCTTCCCTGTGTCTCCCCTTCCAAAGTTATCAGCAAATGTGCAATAAAAGGATCTTTCAAGAAGTAGTCATGAGCTAGTGTACTATTTGCGAACTATTTGCAGATTTCCATTTCCTTGAGTTGCTCCCTGGTGAGGATTTATGATATCTTATTTATATTTGATCAGCATTCAAAATAAATTGAACCTCACAGACTTYAAGGGGAAGTGCTCTATTTTTTTTGGTGGGGGGAGCTTTCATTTCATTCCTAGTTAAAAATGCTCTGTAGCTTCTTCGCTAGTTACCAGTTACAGCTGGGAAGCACATGGGTTCATACATGAAGTTACTCTTCTTGGACTTTGCTAGCACGCTCAGATTATTACAGATTTTATATTGGTCATCCTCTTGTGGTTCTGATGTGATGTCCACATGACCTCTGAGAAGGAAGCAGGATGTCCCCTCCTCTCTGACTACAGGGCCAGCACAGATACTTTCTCTCTGTGATAATGCAGTTGTGACTTAGTTCCTGGCTGCAAATACCTGCTCAAGACCTGTGTGGCTAGCAGACTTCAGGCTGTCAGGTGGCTGGGACAGGTGTGCTGGGGACAGCTGATCCTGCAGCTGCATGCTGTTAAAGGCACTGTGAGGATCACAGCTGGGAAGCAGGATGCTGTGGAGGGAGAACAGCTTGAGAAGTCAGCTCAAAGCAGATGTTTCTAAAATACAGTGTACATGAGTTTCAAGAAGGCATCTTTTCACAGAATGTCTTGGACTTTACATTTGTTCTCTGCCCACTTTTCCTCTCTGCCAGTTCTTGGCTTTCTCCCTTCTTCCTCCTGGTCTTCACATCTACAGAGTTTCAATCTTCACACTAACGTTTTCCAACTATGGCTACCTGACTTACCATGGGGTTAGGGCCCGAGAAACCTACCACCAGTAGAAAAAGGACGAGAATGTTAGAAGTCAAAAATGCTCTGACTGCACTGACCTGCTGAACGCCTGGGCTCAGCCACAGCATGCTGTAGTGCTGGTGTCACCAGCGATCTGTGTTTGGCTGCAAGTCACAGTCGCTACTGCTATCCAGCATCCAAAAGGGAGTTGAAACACCTATCGCTAGTCCGGGAAAAGATCCAAATCAGAAATTCAAATACAGTTTCTACAACGTGCATAAGGTTTTTGTACCATCATGGAATCAAAAAAATCATAAATTGAACCATCATTAAGTCTGAGACTGTATTTCCTTTGGGGAAAAAAACTTCTAATTTTGAATAATGTCAGATTTAAGAAAAAAAGTCTTTATATTCTTTTATCCAGATTCCTCAGTGTTACCACATGGCCACAATTGCATGATCATGTCCCCCATATACGAGTGTGTTTTTTCCCTGACTTGATGTTACCTTACTTGGAAATGCACCAGTATGTGTTTCCCTAAAAGCAAGGACATTTTTTGCATAATCTCTGTAAAAGGATCAAAATCAGGAAATTATTAGCTTTTCAGCATCATTATCTCATGTATGGGCCATATTCGAATTTTGTCAATTGTCTCACAAATGTCCTTCATAAATTTCTGATTTGGGTTCTAACCTTGGGTCACATGTTTGTCACATGGCTTTATTCTCCTTTACCCTGAACCCCTCGGCTTCTCTTTACATTTAGACCTTGATGTATTGGAAGATAGAGGCTATGTAGAATGTTCCTTAATTTGGGTTTGTCTGAGATTTCATCACGGTTGTGTCCAGGTTATGCATTTGGGGCAAGAACATCAGAAATAATATCCAATTATATTTATTTATTCATTTATTTATTTTTTAGTACAGCAGATTAGGAGGCACATGGTACCTACATTTGACTCTTATTGTATTTGGTACTCGGACTTGCAAAAGTTTGTGGGTTTTTTTAATGTAGTAAAATTTATCAGTCTTTTCCTGAATTTGGATTTTGAGAAAATTTAAAAGCCTTTCCCTGTATCTGGTTTAAGATGATGTCACCCATGTTTTCTTGTGTGATTCCAATTTTCACACTTAAGCCTATAAAGAGTTTCTAATAACATGAGAAAATGCTAATATAAACATTAGTTTAATGATAAACAAAGCTGTATGTCCAATATGGTGCCAAATTTATAAAAATAAAATTTTATATATTGACAATAGTTCTCTCTGAATGGTGAGAATACAGGCGCTTTTATCTTCTATTCTTTTTTTATATTTTTTAAATTCATTGTGGGAACCATGTATTACTTTTATAATAAAAATAGAATGACAATGTTATTTTTCAACATTCCCCAATCTTCTCCAGTGTCCCAAGAAAAGAAGACAATTAGTTGAAGTAACTGACACATTCTAGGAATCTCTGTGTAGGTTAGTTACTGCAAAGATCAAGCTGAATACTTGAGTGAACTCAAAAAAGAATGGGTTCAAATGGTTACAATACTTTTTATTATGTTAGTAATCTTTCAATCATGATAACCCTTTTAGAAATACCACAGGAGAGAGGAAGCCTTTCTCTCCCATGCATGATATTTACATGACACATTTGGGAGACATTTACATGACATGACATTGACCTGACCCATTTGGGAGAGACAGGTAGTGAAGACATGGGTGTTGATGTCAAACAGACTTGGATTCAGTGCTAGTTAACATYCTTGCTACCCATATCCCTTTATGCAAGTTAGTTAGCCTTCATCATATTAGTGTGTTTACTTATAAAATAGAGATAATAATATCCCTTCACAGGGATATTATTTATTTATGTTTGAATTATATGCGAGACAGTATACAAAGTACTTCGTATAATGCAGGTACATAAGTGCTCAAAAAACAGTAGTTACTATTATTTTGACCCTTCCAGATGACCTTGGATTCACCTCTGGCCTATTTTTTTTGCATTTTTATTTGTTAATTCAAATTTTTAGTTCACCTACCTACATGACGTGTTTTACTACTCTGTACGTAAATCTGGATAGAGCACTTTCAAATGAGAATTGGTTCTATTTTGAGCACCTGCATGGGCAGCCGAAGCAGCAGTGGAAAGGTGCCAAGATGGTTGGGGATGTGTTGGAGCTGCTTGCAGCAGTAAGGTTGAGAAATCTCATAGAGAAGGCAGGTTAATATTTCAAAGTGAAAGAAATCCGATTAGTGTGTCTGCACCAGGGGGTGTTTTCTCCCTTTCCAGCAAACTCGTGAAAGTTGTCTTCATAACCAGGTTAGAAATTTTAATACAAAGCCTCCATCCATTAAAGGGGATGGACCTGGTTACAGTTAGGACTTCCCAATGACTGCAGACCAGAGGAGAGCTGATCCCCAAGGACTCCACACTGCTGGACTTCTGACAAGAAAACAAACCTGTCTCTGGACCTTTATTTTGTAATGTGATAATATATATTTGTTTATTTATATAATTGGTGATTTTTAATGAGGAGGCTTCTTTCAAAAAAATAGTTCGATAAGGTCCCCCTAGAAATGATTTCAAGGCTCATTTTTAGAATCACTAATAAAAATATAGCTGACAAATTTTTAAATCCCATTCTGATTTGGATCAAAGACTCTTTTCAAAAAGGCACGCTTTTACTTCTGCAGATTTAGCAGATGGTGTAACTGTACACTCAGGGTTGCAGAACTAGACGTCTCTTGGCAACATCATGCTGTTTATCTTTTGTATACAAAGCATAGAAACCAAACTGCAACTCATCCTAGTCACCAGGAGAATGAGTCTTAGCTGTAGTTTAGCTTCATAATTAGTGGAGAAACCCATGTCATCTGACCCAAGTGTATAAGTGTTGTTACAACAAAAAGTAATACATAGCAGCACATGAAAGACTTTTTGTTATGCTTAACATGAGACCTGCTAGGAATATAATATGTCCATGTTTCCTTGGAAAGAACATTAAGAATTTGAACTGCAAAGGAGTCTACTTTTTTAAAAAAGAAACAGATTCTTAGGACAGAGTGTTGAGACTAAGATTTCAATAGGTAGCATGATTCATAAGACATATGATTACCATCTGACTGATAAAAATCCTCACTTCCTTTTCTTTCTCTTTTACTTTGGAAGACCCGGTGACCAATGGATTTATCAATAAGCCCCAACCCCTGGAGAATCGAGAGCGACAAAAGTCATCAGACATCCTGGAGGAACTGATTGTTCAAGGAATAATACAAAGCAGCAGCAGAATATTTAGAAATGGAGAATCATATGATGTTATGGCAAGTAATTCTATAATTAATGTCACCTCAGAGATGATGGAGCACAGGTCATTATTTCCACATGTGTGACTGCCGGTGACAGCATTTATCTAAGCCAGTTTTTACCTTCCATCAATTCCCTCATGCCCTTGCACACCATCCTTTGTGGATTCAGGAATTGTCCTAATTGCTATTGAGTAATGAATCTGATAAAAACATTTCTTGGGTTATATTAAATTTGAGGTACAATAAGCCCCACTGAATAACATGCCTTTGTCCTTTCAGCAATTTTTATTAAGCATTAACGTTTGGATAAGAAAACTGAATTTGATTTACTCATTAAGAAAATGGGCCTAAATGCCAAGGCTATGACATATATGTTTATGTGTGTGTACATACACACATCCTAGAATCAAACATGGGGAAATACAGTTGTAAAAATTACTAAACTGCTATTTTTCTTTGCTGATTCATCCTGATCAATCTGGCAGTTTTTCCTTAGTGTAAAATTTTACTCTGATTTTTAACTTGCTTGACCCAAGTCTAGAACTCTAAATTTTTAAATTAGTTCTATATAAAAGAGGATAGTGTTTGTTGTTTTGTTTTGTTTGCTTGTTTGTTTGCTTGTTTTTAAGCCAATGCTCCAGATATCTAGGTACTGAGTACCAGAGAAGGTAAAGAAGAAATCACAATTAAAGGAAGACTGAGGAAAAAATGAATAGAAAACAAAAGAAAAAGCAATGATGAAAATAGAGATCAGAAATGACTTCAAAGTTCCCATAATTGTTACCTATCCCTGTGTTGTAGGGAAAATAGTCAACTGGGAATAAAAGACTTATTATTCAAATGAAGTCTGCTCCTAGACCAAGTCACTTAGTGCCTAAGTGAACTTTCTTCCCTGTGTGTAGGGAATGTTGAGAACTTATGAATTGAAGCCAAGTTGGCATTTTCTTTTGAAAAGGGAAATTCCTGCAGAAAGTATTTGGGGAGAGGAAAGACTGCCAACACTTAATATTCTTAGACTACCCAATGATGAGGATGTAGGAGAAAGGGCAAAGTACAAATGAGTCATATAATGAAAGGTTAATGCCATCATGACAGTTTGCATTTGCACACTGCTAACATGACCCAAGGCATCCTGGAGTACCTGATCCTACTAGAAAATACCAGAAGAACAGATCTTTAACATGGAGGGGGAGGGATTTGATCTTTAACATGGAGGGGGAGGGATTTCTGGCTATAGTTGAGTCTCTGGGGGACAGAAAAAAAGTTGTGTCAAAAGACAGGAGAGCACATCAAGTGGAGGAGGACAGATAATGGAAACATCCAGTAGCTAAGCAATGACTACTTCTGGGAAATGCTGGAGATACCTTGGGGCTGACACCAAGAGGATTACATTCAAACATCTCAGTGATAATGTGCTCGAGATGAATGCATTCTAACATACATCTTGCATAGGATGCCAAGGTTAATTAGCATAAGTTACATTGTGAAAGAAATATATTAATGACAACTATGGGCTTGACTTTCAATAACACTATTAAGTGAACTAAAGGTTAAGACTGTATACATATTATATAGAAATAGAATGGCTATTAGGAGCATGGTTAGGACATTCTCAAAAGCATTTAAATATAAGGTTGTAAGAATGCCACAATTCCCACCCAGTCTGGCCCTTGGTATTGGGCCAAGATGTTCCAGCATACACCAAGTTTGCAACAGGCCAGAGTGGCAACATATAGCTCTTTGTTTTATTGCCTAATGTTGTGGTCCTTAACCTGACTATACCTTGGAGTAACCTAGGGAGTTTTCAAAATTCCCAGTGCCCATGTTCCACCCTGGGCTAATACCTGGGTGTGGAATCCAGCTTCCATGTTTTGGAAAGTTAACAGAATCATCTGTCAACAGCCTAGGATGAGAACCAGATACCCTGAACTTCCTCAAATCTATACACAAAGCTTTCAAGTTCACCAACAAGATGGGAAGGATTAAAGCTATTGAAATCATAGTGTATTCCTCATTCATCATGAGAGACAATTCTAAAATATTCCTGAAAATGTAACATTTCAAGAATAGCAACTACAATTATACTCAAGAAGCCCAGGGAAGTAAAAAAGAGCTACAGTAGCTCAKTGTCACCAATATAGCTTCCTTCAATTCAGGTGTGCTTCAGTTCATAATTGGGCCAGATACTAGGTGCCTTAAATGTTTTGGCAAAAGTTATACATATATAATAAAAAGATAAGAATCAACACTGAAGGACAGAGTGGGGATCATATAAAGTATAGAAGTGATTGAAGGCTAATATTTTGAAATATATAATACTTATAAAAAAGAAAAACCCTGATAAATTTGACTAAAAATCAAACCAAGGAGTCAAGATAAATAAAAAGAAGATGATTAATAAAAGGATACCAGTGTTAGCAGTTACCACAATGTGATGAATCCAATCAGATGTGTAAACATTATTTCTTCATTCTCCTAGGGGAAAAATGATTTAAAATAAAATGTTATGGGAAAATAGAATAAATTTGAGAATACTTTAAAAATAAGACTTCTTACATGGACTAATAGCTTATTAAATACAAGAGAATTCTGGACTAGTTATGCCCACTTCCTAGTCAGGTAATCATCATCTTCCACTGAGTTTTTAGTTAGAGTGATAAAAGTGAGGGTCTTCTATTCCTCTTCTGAGTCAGGGCCATCCCATCTTCCTAAGGGTCCAAAGTAGTATCTGAGTCTGCTGCAAGGTCTCCTTTCATCTTTTTTCTGTTTTCATCATTCACTTGCCAGTGAGTACTACAATTCCATAGTACTYTCCACATAACCAGTTTTCAAGCATGTTCATATTAATAGATTTTATGCTGATTTAAGAGTTAAAAAGATATGTAAGAGATATAACATCAATAACATAAATATTAGATCATTAAGTGAGCCTTTTAGTGTATTTTAAACCATTTTACTGAGACTTAACATGACTATATGGTAAAGAGTACTGGATTTATGTCAATATGTGTATGGGTTAGTACAGACCTCTTTAGAAATATGTAATTGACTCTCACCCACATAAATATTATTGCTTAGGTATCTTATTGTAAATTCATACCTCTCTCTCTCTCTCTCTCATACCTATTTGCAAGCCCTGAGTATTTTCCATTAATTTCGCCTTGTCTGATCAAAGTTTATTCTCTTCTCTGTGCAACTTCTGTAACCTTTAGTGTAGTTAGGGAGTTTGTTCACATTGCACCAGTCTCTAACATTATTTGTTGACCTTCATGGAGAGTTTTTTGAGGAGAAAGTCAACTGAGTTAGGACTAAATAATGCTAGTAAATGACAGTGTGATCTTCCTAAGGAGGTCTAAAGATGAAAGAACATGAATGATTGTTAGAGTCTGTAAACAAGTCAGGATGGCGCCTGGCATTTTGCCAGGGGAATGTTAGAGTTCGTAAACAAGTCTGGATGGTGCCTGACAAAATGCCAGAGGGAGTGGTTTGAGAAGTAACAAAAGYGAGCCATTAAGTGTAAGCCATAAGCCATTCCTTATTGGTTGACTGATGTATCTAGTTTATGCTAATTAAGATAAGCTGTGCAAAATGTATAAATACCTCTGTTGTCCTACAATAAACGGCTCCTACTCCTGCTGTATCAATGTACACAAGTTGTTCGTCACCCCCCTCCCCTTATTTTGCTGCGGCCCGGACTGTGGCAAATGATCAGGTCTTCTGCAGGAAGCTTTGGCCTATTCTGTGTACAAGATACCTTTAGGGAACAAACCCAAGATAAGTTCATCCATAGGTCAATAATTAATTAGGAAAGTTCTGAGGGATACATAGTGGATGTAAGACATAATACATACAAGCTCAGTTGGCTAGAAACAAGGCTCAAATATTATTACAGCATCTTTGGGACTGGCAGTCCTCTGATAGTATTCTTAAGGAAAATAACTGAACTGGTAACTTCTCTAAGCTTAAGATGGTGGTCTTTAAGTTTCTACTGACAGCATGTCTATGCATAATAAAATTGTTGTTATCATTTTAAAGTGCCAACCAACATTTGATGAATTCTGATTTCACAAAATTCAGTTTTAAAAAATATAACTGTACAGAGTTTTTTCAATGTTTCTATGTAACTGTCAAACTCAAGAAAGACTGCACAGATAGGATTAACTTCTCAAGAGGAGGAAGAAAATGATTTCATAGGCATCAGTTTGAAATAAAGCCACAGGAAGAGCCTTTCCAAACCAGAAAATCCCAACTTCTCTCAGTATGACTGACTGATCTCACAGTGTTAGTCAAGGTTCAGACTGCTATGTAAAATCTAACTCTGCATTTCTTTATTGGATCTTGGATTACCATATAATTTTCTTTTAGCCTCTGTTGAGTGAGCAGCTCTAAGAAAGGTTTTCAAACTCATTTCATAGTATCTCTGGCTGAGCAACCACAGCAAGTGTGTCCCTCTTTCCAGCAAATGGCTTTTGCCAGCAGGAAGCTTAAAAGTCAAGTGTCATTAAAACACACACACACACACACACACACACACACACACACACACACAATGAGAAGGGGGAATATTCTTTACTGAAAAAATCAGTTTTCTTCCAGTGAACAACTCTGCCCCACAGATAACTCTGATGGCTGAAACAGAGCCAACCTTACAATAATGTTTTCAAAAGGCTCTGAGCATCCTAGATTTCAAAGCTGGAAGGAAAGTTAGCCGTCTTTCATCCTCTCRCTATCTTACCCGTAAGTTCAGAGACCAAAGTCCAAAGGTGCTGGCCTCAGGTCAGACATTGAATTAGTGGTAGAGTTGCTGCTCTACTTCCGGTTCCGGGTTCCGTTGTACTTCCGGTTCCGGGTTTGGTCTCACGGTGGTTTCCGGTTCCGGGTTTCCGTTCCAGTTCCAGCGCCTTTCTGGTCTCCTTATCCACCTTGGGGTAGTTGGGTAGTTTGTTTGCCGAGTTGACAAGTTGGCGTTATWCCCTTCTACTCCCTCTAAAACGTTTCCCAGGAAGTTAAGTACTGTGCAAATGAGGAAGCCAGGGTTTGTAGGGCTTAACAAGTCATGGAAAGTCACTCCATAGCCAAGTCGGGATTCAAACCCAGGTGTGTGTAAGTCCCAAGCCCGTGACTTTCCCTGTTAAGCTAAATTGCTTCTCTTTGTCCGCTTGATTTATTTTCTCAGCATCTACAGCRTGGTAGTCTGAAGAGAGAGAGAGTCATTTGGAAATTATAATGAATATTAATAGCTCTTTTCTCTTTGAAAGAAGTCTTTAGAGAGATTATCTAGAACAGGACTCAGTTCATTTTATAATAAAGACATGGAGTTCGTTAAAATCTTCCCCTARTCATAATCAATCTATATATACTGACCTAGAAAGATGTCCATATTAAATTAAGTAAAAGCAAATTGCAGGACAATGTGTTTGGATATAATCGCATTTAGTTTTTATTTAACATTGCAGATGTTCTGCACATATGTGCGCATATAAATATACCTGTGTTGCTGGCTCAGTAGGTTCCTGTGCKCTCTACCAGAAGAATGAGGCAGACACATCCATATAAGAGGAATAGGCTCTTTATTGGGGACTTCTGCTGGGGCCAGAGGGAGCACTCTCCAAGAGTGTCAGGCYGACTCGAACAAATGATAAAGGTGTGCAGTTTCATGGCATCTAGAGTAGGCAGAGGGACTACCTTGATTCCGTCCCTGGAGGAGGTGGGGTTTGAGCACAATGTGCTCTTCCTCTTTGTGCTTCTTTACGCATTGCATGTCTCATTAACATCCTATGTGTCCCTCTATGGGTGTGTGTTAACTATGYTAATAAGGTAAAGGTGCCTATGGGTTACTTCAGTGACTATTCTATGCATAGATTTGTCTCTCACCATTTGGAATTTACTTCTTATTGTCTGAGAAAGTCCCKGATGTTATTTTCAGAATGGGGCAGACTGTTGTTCTGTCTCAGTGGCCTTGTCTTTGGGACTTGTCTCATTCCAGTCCTTGACATTTCTGCCAACCACATAATCTCAAAAGGCTGAGGCGACTTCTCAGCTTTCCATCTCCTAACAAGTTATTTTACTCCTATAGCCTTGAAGACTGGTTCGCTTTTTAACTCCAGTACAGCTTGTAACCCCATAAGACTGAGAGCTAACTTGGCTGAATTATTTCCCCCTGAGAGGTTTTATCCCTTAATCATAAGGGGTGCTTTTTCTCAAGGAGATCCCTGATGTCTCATGTGCGTAGAAAATATCTGGAAAGACACACTTTTTWAAAAAAAAAATCATGTTTACGAGTGGGATTGGGGGCCAAATGAYGAAACAGACGATTAGGGGGGTTACTTATGTATTTTTTAAATTTTTCATAATAAATGTATATTACAAAAACTTTTTTAAAAGAAAATTTAATTTTTAAGAAGAAAAACACTGTCAATTAAAACTTTCCTGGGGCTGGGATTGTGGCTAGTGGTAGAGTGYTTGCCTAGCATGCATGAGGCAGTGGGTTCGATCCTCAGAACCWCATAAATAAACCACATAAATAAAATAAAGATTTTGTGTCCACTTAAACCTAAAAAAAAWWAAWWWTWWTTTTWAAAAWWAAWTTTTWAAAAAWWAAWWWTTTTTTTAAAAACAAATAACATGTCTTTTTAAAAAAAGAAGAAAAAACTTTCTTCATAAGCCCTTCATAATAATTTTACATTTTTATTACTACTAATTATAATTAGAAATTCATTATTCTTTGAACTATTGAAAGAGTTGTTAGTCACATGAAGTGGCATTTTAGTTTCTGCTCTCATGAGAATATTTTGTAAAATACCAATAGCAAAGCCCAGCACAAAGTTATTTCTCAATAGCAATTAATTCTCTCTCTGCCACAAGATCAAAAGTGGTAAGATCTAATCGCTATTCAAGTGAAAGTAATTTGCAACTTGTGGAATGTATAAAAATGAATTGAAATCATTGAATATTATAAATCAAGGTAAAAATTTGACCTTTTACTTTGAATTACAAATTCAWAACTGATTCTCTACCTTCCATTTTGTGTTCATTCTCAAGACTTTTTCCTCCTGAGTCCTCTTTTATCCAGTTTCAGAACTTGTTGCATACTTAGTTCCTTTTTCTTAATAGCTTGGTGTTTTTAGGGCATCTAACACATTTTATCTTTAGTAATTAATTCTTTTGTTACCAGCTTTTAAGTTGTTATTGTTGTTTTAATCTGCTACTAGAAAGTTTAGGTCTTTAGTATTTACCTTCTAAATTGTGTTTACCTCTCCTGCCTTTCTCCTCTGCCATTGAATATGCTTGTTTCTCAATTTTCTAAAAATGTCTTCTTCCAGATGAACACAACTGAGAAGCCACTGAGAAARCCACCAGCCAGACTGAAAAAACTTAAGATCAAAAAGGAAGTAAGAGATTTCACAATGAAGGACATAGAAGAGAAGATGCAGGCAGCAGAGGAGCGGCGGAAGGTAAGTGAGCTCTGAGGCTCAGAGTCTGAGGCATTCAACACTTGCTAAAATGAGTTCACTTCAGACCTTTTCCTATCAGTAGCTTTAAGACAAATTGCATGGATTTGTACTTAGTATCTCAGTGATCTGCAYGCTTCTTATGCTAAATGGTTGGTGTTTGCTTTCTCAAAATTATCTTTGTGCTGTAACAGAAGACATATCTTAAAGTTGGCCGAAAATTTCAATTTCATCCATACAGCCTAAGATAGCAATATTTAAATTCTCAGAATTGAATCAAGTATGAGGTTTCCTTCACATGAAAAAAGAAAGACTTTACTTGGGGGTGGGTAGGAGGAGAATCAGGGCAGGATGTGTGTAGCAGAGAGGAGGCCCTGAGGACCACAGACAAGAATTCCTGCAGCTTTGGCACCTGGGACCTCAGAACACTCTACTAGCTGCTCTGCTGGGAGACAGGCCTCCTGGTGTTAGTCCAAGCTGACATTGCCCTCTCATGGCCTCCTGGGAGCAAGGACTGGCTATGTACTTCATGGGGTAGACCCTATGTCTGCCCCCTTCAATAGAACTTCCTCAACAAATATGGTTATATGACTGTTAAGGACATAGAAAAGCCAGAAATTTTCATGATTCATGATGGGCAATAATAATGAGAACTTATAGAAGGTGATTTGGACTCCTTTTCATTTTTTTTAATATTGCTTTTCAGATTAAAGAAGAAGAAATAAGAAGGCGGCTACGAAGTGACCGCCTTTTGCCCACAGCCAATCATTCAAATTTGGCTGAAATAGATGGAGCTGAGGTTCCACTTGAGAAAGGACTTCAAACCATAAGTGCTGCTACATTTGAGCCACCTGTCCTGCAGGGAGGAGAGCTACAGAAGAGGAAGAGTAACAATGACTTAGTCCCGATAGATGGAAACTACTACTATGAAAGTTTGGGGGTTGTAGAGTCAGACATGTCCTACAACAAAGAGGATGATATATTTGAATAAGCCATTTTTTTGTGTGTGTAAACACCATAAAAAGGAATCTATTTTCCCTAGTGCAACAGTCTTAGTATGTCTCATATTCTTTGACCATGTGACCTCACCCTGTGGAATTTCTGGTGCAGCTTTTGCAATAATGGTGTAGGGCTGCATGCACTGAATATTAGTTGACTTAATTAAATTACTGTGGATGCACGYGTGTGCACGCACACACACATGCACACGCACAGGAGAAAGATCCATAGAGCTGACCAGCTTAGATTACTATGAGGTTGGTATTCTCCCTGAATATGTCTTTAAAAGTTGTTTAGATGTCTTTAATTTATGAATCTCTTGCAGCTTTATATATTGTGAATATATCTGTGCCAAATGAAACCCTTACTTTTTAGCTCCTGACCTTGGACTATGTCCACTGATGTCCTTTACAACAAAATTGAATGCATTTATAAAGTATTTTAACAATYTGTGTGTTTTTTAGGAATGTGTTTAGGTTTTTAAAAATTGTGCTGTCAAGTAATAAAGCACTACCTTAAAGCTGAATTACAGTTTCATCTGTATTTATAATTAGCTAAACAATATCCATTTCTTAGAATTATGTAAAACATGGAGTTTTCTTCATATTGAAAAYACCACTTCTCCTGGGGCAATAGGCGGGTAAGTGAGGAGCCCAAGGTCTGTGCTCCAAGCTGTGCTCATCTCATTGGAATCATGCCTTGGTTCCCCCCTCCCTTGCCTCTGCACATAAGAGTGATCAGATGGGAAGATCTCTTGCATCCATTTCCATACTTTTCTGGTTTAGACCACTCCACCCCTCATGATTCAGCTGGGTTACTGCAACACATCTCTCCATTTTCATACAACCATGGTCTGTCCAAGACCCCCTTGTTGACCATCTTTGATTGTCAAGATAAAAATCCAGACTGCTTTTTGTTGATAAAGATCTCAGATTTGAAGGATTGCAAACTGAACAAATTCTAGTTCCTCAAACTCAGMACATTCTCCCTGACTTCTGGGTTTTGCATATGCTGTTCACTCATTCCTCTTTCCCCTCTTGCGATTTGATGGATGCCTTCTTGTTTTCATGTATCAATTCAGATACACGTTCTCCAACACCCTGGACCAGGTCACCTGTGGTAGATGGGCTACTCATTTTTGTACTTATCACCCTGTGAAGAAGCTGCCTGATTTCCATGTAATCATTAGGCATTTTCAATCCYCACAAAACAATGAACAGATCACAACCATGATCTGTTGTTATCAAGGTTGCATTTTTTGTACCTCAGTAAGTGGAGGGTACAGAATAAGTGCTGTGTAAATATTGCTTTGGCAAATGGATCAATATGCTCTAAATCCTCCACAAGCAGAAGTTGGGCCCCATGAGGTGGTTTGTCTTGGGATCTATAGATGAATCTATAGCAGAAGCTACAGAAGAACCTACAGATGAAAGCTATCCCAGTGCTTTCGGCTTAGTATGGGGAATGGAATGCCATGTCTTCCCCTAAATGAGGGGAGTAGATCTCCATACCCTCCAACAAAAAGGGGGTAGTTCCCCTTGAAACCAGTAGGTCACCATGTGCATCACAACTTGATAGGCACAGATCCCAAAGCCCTCCACCTGGTGAGGGGTGATGTAGAACTGTGTATAYGCCACCTCATCAGAGGAGTTTATTCACAGTCCTTCTGAGGATTTCCCATTCTGGATTATTCCAGTTCCACCCTCAAAGTACGAATAGGAAAAGACATTAATATGTATGTGAATATGTATATGAATGTATATATGAATATGAACATGTATATGTTAATATGTATATAAATAGAAATATGAAAATGTATATAAATATATATGTGAATATGAATAGATATCAATGTGAATATAAACATATATGGATATGTATATATGAATATGAATATGTGTGTATATAAATATGAGTATACATGAATATGTGTTGATATGCATATGTACATGCACATGAATATGAATTTGTTTGTGAATATCTCATTAATATGAATATGTACATGAATGTGAATGTTAATGGATACATGTATGTTAATGAATATGATTAGTGTAAGAACATGAACAAGTGCATTACATGAATATGATTATTTGTATGAATATGAATACATACATGAATGTGTATATAAATATGAATATGTGTATTAATATGTATATGAATGTGTATGAATATATAGTGATGTATCTATGATTTAGATACCAGTGCCTTAACTCTCATGGGGAACTGATCACCCTGCCCTCCACTACATGAGGTGAATAGCTCTCCATGACCTCAGCACAATGAGGGCTGTTAGCCCTCATGGGGGAAGTAGGTCCAGGCATCCTGTACCCAGTGAGGGGACTATATCCCCATACCCTCCACCTGGTGAGTGGATTAAAATCATCTATCCTCAACCTGACCAGTGTTAATCCCTATGCCCTCCATCTGATGAGATCCCACTCCAGAATATTCCAGTTCACACCCTAAAAGGATGAGACTGGGGCAGATGCTATAGATAGATCTATAGATGCCTCTAAACATATCCCAGTGCCTTCTACTCCATATGCAGAATGGAACACCGTGCACCCCTCTAGATGAAGGCAGTAGATCTCCATGCTCTCTGACAGTTGAGGGGAGTAGTTCCCCTTAGGGGAGATTAGGTCTCTGTGTCCTTTACACCTGGAGAGGTACAGACCCCCATGCCCTCCTCCTGGTGAGAGGTGTAGAACAATAATACTCTACCTGATCTCTACAGTCCTTCTGATGATTTCCTATTCCAGATTATTCAAGTTCTATGTTCAAAGTATGCATTGGAGAAGACATTAAAATGTATAGAAATATGTATCTGAAAACATGTATGAAGGTGTGTATGCATGCATGCATACATATAAGTATGTATATGAATAGGATTTTTAATACATACATGAATATTAACATGAATATGTGTATATATGAATATGTRTATAAATATGAATATTCACAAGAATATGAATATATGTCTTATTATAACATGAATATGTACATGTACATGAATATGAACAGGTGTATGAATATGTATATGAATAAGTATATGAATGTTTATGTTTTATGAATGTGTACATGAATATGAATATGTATGTGTATATAAATAGGAATAGGAATATGGATATGAATATTTCATGAATATGAATGTGTAATGTAAATATACATGAATATGTACACACACATGTGCATAAATGTTAAAATGAATATGTGTATGACTATGATTAAGTGTATGGATATGACTATGTACATATATATGAATATGAATGTTTATGGATATAGTTATATGTATAAATATTAATATGTACACAAACATGATTCTGAATATGTATATGCATAGCATTACGTGTGTGAACATGACCATGTACATAAATATGAATTTGTGTGTAAATACATTCATGAATATGTATATGAATATGAACTTGAACATGTACATGGAAATATATTGTATACATGATATGTACAWAATATATACATGAATTCAGTATGAAAATGATATGTACATGAATATATATTAATTGTATATGACTATTAAGATATATATACTATGAATTAGATCCCTGTGCATTACCTCATACAGGGAAGGATCACCATGCCCTCCAACAGATTAGGTGAGTAGATCTCCATGTCCTCAGCACAGTGAGGGCTGTTGCTGCCCCTGGAGGGACAGTTCTGGTGTCCTGCACCCAATGAGGGGAGTACATCCCCATGCCCTCCACCTGGTAAGTAGCTTAGAATCATGTTWTCTCGACCTGATCAGGAGTGTTAATCCTTATATCCTCCATCTGATGAGATCCCACTCCAGAATGTTCCAGTTCAAACTCTAAAATCATGAAACTGGGACAGATGATATAGCTGAATCTATAACAGAATATATAAAGGAAATATATACCAGTGCCTTTCAGTAAGAATGGGGAATGGAACACCATGCCCTCCCTTAGATGGTGGGGATCTCCATCATCTGATAAGAGAGTAGAGTAGTTCCTCTGGAGGCTTAGGTCCCTGTGTCCTTCAGTCATCAAAAGGCACAGATCCCCCATGCCCTCCACCATTAATATGTAGAACCACATATTACCCACCTGATCAGAGAATATTATTTCTGTATAGTCCTTCTGATGATTTCCCATTCCAGATTTTTCCAGTTCTACCCAAAAATTATGAATGGAGAAGGCATTAATATGTATATGAATATGTTTATGTGTATGAATAAATAGGCAAATATAAATATGTACATTAATATTAATATGAATGAGGATATGTACATGAGTATGTACTTGAATATATCTATAAACATGAATATGAATATATTTGTATATAAATATGAATATGTATGTTTGTATATTAATATKAATATGAATATGAAAATGTATATGAATATGATTGTGAACACGTATATGAACACAAATGTGTCTGTTAATATGAATATGAATATGAATATGTACATGTATATGAATAGAATATGAATCTAGAGATGAATACGAATAAATACATACTATGTACAAGGATATGAATATGAGTATATGTACATATGCATATTGTACATATGAATATGCATATAAATATGACTGCTTATGAATATTAGTGTGAATTTGAACATGAATATGTATATGAACATAAATATGAATGTGTACATGTACATGAACATGAATATGAAAGTTTATTTGAATATAAATATGTACTGGTACGTGAATATGTGTATGCATATGTATATGCTCTTGTATATGAATATGAATAGGTGGATGAATATGAATATGTACATGAACATGAATATAAATATGCACAAGTACAGATACATGAATATGAATGTGTATGAATATTGTAAGGGTTAGGGATTAAGAGATGTCAAGGATTAAGAGGATTATGGGTGTGTCTATGAGGATGTGTCTAGAAGGCATGTGGGATAGCCAACTGAAATGGAAACCCTCCCAAAGTGTGGGCAGCATTGACCTATAAGATGATGGCTTAGATGGAATAAAAGTTTCAAGAACAAGGAAGCAGCAGATGCAAGCTCCATTCTTCTTGAATGTGTTCTTGATTGCTGCTGTAATCATCTGAGGATATCACTTCCTCACTCTTCTAAAGTGGACTCTGCCAGTGATTCCCTAGGAGCCTTCAGTCTCGAAACTTGGGTATCACCATTGATCCCTCTTGTTCTGGGGCTCCAACCTCTTGGACTATGATGGTTCTTCTRGCTGGTTCTTCTAGCTCTCCAGCCTGCAGGTGGCCATTGTGGACTATCCAGCTTCTAGTCACAAGAGACAACCTAATAAGTCCTCTTTATAATTATACTTCCTGTTGATTTTGTTCCTCTAGAGAACCCTAATACAAATATGAACATGTACATGAATATGTTTTTGAAAAGGTACATGTAAATATGTGAATATGTGTATAAATKTGAATATGTACATTTGCATGAACATGATATAAATGTGTGTATTTACATGGGCATGAATGTGAATATGTGTTTGAATATGAACATGCCCATGTATGTACACATGAATTTGA